TGAAACTGCATAAGTGTTAATTAGTACTTAGAACCTCTCGGCCCAGATCTACTGACAAACCCTAGGTTTGGAAGAAGCCGAGGAACAGTAACACAGAACTGAGTAATACGAAACGAAACGATTAACGAAGGGACACCGTCATCAGGGCGAAACAAAACAAAACAAATTTCAGGCCTCGTATATGCCACCGCAGTAACTTTAAGCCTTTTACTGTGACAAGAAAACGACAATGCAATGTAATGCAATGCAATACAATACATTGCAACTACATCACACTCCTGTTCAATTCAAGTGATCATCAAAAGAAAAGAAACAGATTGCCGAGACCAACCGAGGTGTGATGGTTGATAATACTGGGTTTACTCAAGTTCCTTTCTATGGAGTAATCTTGCATTTGTAAAGACAAAATAATTCATATTTATAACGTTACTATGGTAAAAATGTGCATTAAACCTCGGCCTTCATCAGTTGAAATATTTATTTCTTTTTAAATTTAAAGTTTTATACGCATTTTCAACCAAAGTAACGTTCTCATTTTTCTTTATCATGAATTCACCTGGTAACAGGTCCATTTTTAAAGCTTCACCTGTGTTTCATCATCCCATCAAACTAGCGCTCCTGCATTTACCAGAAGTTAATAGGAAAACAAGAAACGAAAATAGCCAAAAAATTCTGAAGAATATTGGATATAGCCTGAGAGTAACACCATAAATCCCAAGGTAAAAACAAAGCTAGTCTAACGTGTAAAGTAAAAAAACTGCTTATCTAAAAACAAGGCCCCAAACGCTGCGAAGAGCTAAAAACCCTTCGATTAGGCTGACCACTCGCTGAAGAGGAAGGTCCTGAAAGGAAAGAAAAAGCGATAGAAGTAGAAGACGCGGACTCATTTCGATCCGCGGGGCGGAAACAACTACGCCTGTCCTAGGTTTTTCTCTCAGCCCTTCTCTCCGCCTTGTACATCCTCTTTTCGTCATCGGAATTTGAAGTCGGCTCGTCCGAGAGGTATTCTTTCACCGTTGACTGGCCAAAATCACTCTTATCGGCCATTTTAATCACCTTAAATCACCTTTATCCTCTTAGAAACAACCTCAGTACCTGCGTCCAAAGTGGCCTTGACCTTGTCGTGGGATTTTACTTTCAAAGCGTCGGATGCTTCGTTAAATCTGACTAGCACTTGAATGACATGATCCAGCTGCTGTTGGTTTCTCTTTCTCTTACAGGTGTAACTTTCTCGAAGCGCCTTTTTGATGCCTTGCTCGACAGTGGAACTATTCTCCTCAGAAAACCGCTTAGCGAAACCGCTCAGATCTTCGATAAACCGCGTAAGGTTATCGGTTAAAGCACCAATAGACTCGGCAGCGGAAGACTTAATTAACTGGTTAACGGAGGGGCTGATTGCAGCGCCTGAGCCGTCGTTAACAGTAACAGTCGAAACCGAAGACCCTTGCTCCTGCTCCTTGGGCATAGCGATGGCTAAAACGAAACTATGGGTCGTAGGCGTTCGCAGAAACGAAGGGTGAATACAAATGAACAAGACACCTATATAACCGTGTGCAAAATACTTAACACCGCTTAAATACCGAGGTACAAACAGACACTATAAAACACCCAATTAACCATATAAGAACGTGCAGAAAACAAATATCTGCTAAACTGCGAACCGCAGATATTTTTGCATTCTGTGGCTCTTCCGATATGAGAAAACGCGCGAAGAAGCTGCCAGAGATAATCATTTCTAGTATTCATTACACAAGCGAAAAGTGTTTTTTGCGTGTTGCGAGTTGTGTATGTATTTTATTTGTAAATGACGAAAAACTTTGTTAGTTTGTTTCGTACGCGCTGATTGATTAGCATGTACTATTTACGACCGAGCAGTGGAAAAGTCAAAATCGCGCGTCAAGAATTTCCGAACCATTTTACGGTATATTGACAGAAATTAATTAATTTTTTGGTTTCTGCATATGCTAAAGCAATTATCCTTCTGTTTGTTAATAAATAATTGGCGCTTGTGACATAGTAATGCCTTAGATTATCTGACCTGTTAGCAGTCTCCTCGCTCTAATCCTCTCTAATTCCGAGCGGAACATTGGTGTACCTTACATTAACAAATAGTATAGTCAATATTATACCGCTGAACGACTAATTCGATGGCTTAAAAAGAACATGGCTGCCATGATGGCGGCCCTTTGCGTTCGAAAATTGGGAGTTTTCCAACCTTTTAAATGTGAGTAGATCTCGAAGTTTGTTTCAAATTCAACATTAATTGTAGTGAGTTATATCAACCAGTTCTAAAAGCGAAACATAAGTCTTTTGAAAATGTTGTTTACCATGCTAGTCTGCAATAGTTTCATCATGTTTATACAGACCTTAGCAGCTTGTAGTAGGACACAGTAGTTTGTTAAAGTATTGTACTTCAAAATTGGATCTGGTTGGGTTACGAATTCTCTCGGGATCTGCGACTCGATCGAGTTGAGATACCGTATTTAATCGATTAACCGCGCACCGCGGCGTTGATTAAATTTTTCTTGATTCCAGTGCGGCGTTTATTCGAGGGCAGCGTTTATTTAAAATCCAATTTATTTATTCTAAACAATAGTATGGTAACTGACCATTTTAATTTTGGCGTTTATTAAAATTTCTGCTCTAAAATGTGGCGTTTATTCGAGGACGGCGTTTAATCGATTAAATACGGTAATTTAGTTTCTAGTGTGGGTCAGGGGTTGATAGATACATCAGTCATTAGACCTAGGAAAAAGAAAAAGATTATGTTTTAAAGTGCTAGTTTTGTGCAACAGGTCTGCCAGTGCTTGTTATACAGAGCCGAACAGCAGCCAAGAAGTCTGCAGGTCATACAAAGAATCGTCAGCATCACAATAGAAGAAGAAAAGGCAAAGGATATGGACCAAGGAGGACCGAAGGTAAGCTTGATATTTTAACTCATAAGGATTCGATTACCATGCATTTGCTCGTGTATTTATTGTGAAACACTGCCACTTGCTACTCTATCTTGGGTAAACATTTAGTCTTTTTCAACAATTCTACTCTCAGCATTGAAGCTTTGGTCATATTTAGTTTGGGGGCAGCTTGTTGGAATAATTGAAAGTTAAAGTCAAACACTTGCATGACAGAGAGCTTCACTGACATTAGCTACCTGACTTAAAATTATTTTGTAAAATCTCTCTTCTGCCTATTTTTGGCTTTGTTCCTATTCTCTTTTGTGGGTGGGTTGGGGAGCTAACAAGAAAATCTCTGCTTTATTTAGCTCCCTAATTTACAAAATAATCTTACCACCTTGATACTAGTTAAAAACATTTTTAATCAATTAACAATACTGTAAAATGAAAATATCATTATAATTTAATGTAATAATTGATTTATGTGAATAAAGCACTGTCCTGTCTTGTCTTGTCCTGTTTTACAGCAGAGTTGTTTGGTACATTTGTCATTTAAATCTGATTTTTTGTTCTACCCTAAGTTCATTGACAGGATTTGCTCTGTTTCTGTTCGCACATAAATCACTAAAACTGATAGTGCATCTTATAACCAAGTATTTTCACGAAACTTTCCAGTTGGGAACTTGACATTGTCACTTTCTCAAGTTGGGGATGTGTTTTAAAACCAAAGAACCATGTTCCTATACAAGGACTTTTACAGGATGTTGAGGGTTAATTACTAATCAAAATTTATGTAGCAAAAGGGTTGACTTTGTATTAAGGAGTCAATTTAGATAACTGAACAGTGGAATTTGATTGTTGACAGATGTAACCATTTCTCTCTGAATTTAACAGGAGAACGTGTCACACCAGGGACAATGCTTTTGAAGCAGAAAAAGACAGAGGTCAAATATCACCCAGGATTAAATGTAAGTTTATATGGTTTACAGCAACAGCAGTGATTTTCAAAAGGCTAAGAGGAACACTTCAAGTTCAGCAAAATACAGAGCAAGAAGTCATTATATAGCAATAGCAAGTGAAAGATTCTTTTGTTGGGTATTTTTGGTTTAAATCACAGTTCCTTAATTGTCTAGTCATCATTTACTTATTTGATTGTATT